TTAGTGAGAATGGTGATGATTCCGTTCACGTTCAATGTGCAGTCTCAGGACAAAGCTCCCTTGCTAATCGCAGACAAGTGGACTGACCTGACCTGACCACGGCCTTTAGAAGTGAATGCCACATGGGGTGGGTGAAAGCAGGGGCAAGGAGTGCTGAGTGCAACAAGTCACAAAGGGTGAGCTCAAAGCAGCAAAGCAGCCAGCACCTACAGAATCACCACATCAGGAATCGTTCATATCCCAACAATACATGAAACCCTGCAGCCAGGCAGGTGTATCCTCAGTTTGGATCCTCAGCCCTTCTAATAATCCCCAGCTGTTAGGCGTGTACTCATCCAACACTAAATATCTATTCTGCAAGGTGCTGATCCAGGCAGCAGGGACATGTAGATAACTAAGAGAAGGTGATCTCTGCCTTTAAGGAATGTATAGTCTATAAAAGTTGATCCAATCTCTAAGGAAAAATTGGAACATAGTGGCCAACAACTTACAACTGAGGCACATTCAAGAGTCAGGGGGAATTCACAGAGGGAGGGACTTATCCTGGGGGCAGTGGGCGGGGACGGGGAGGAAGAAATGCTAGAAAGTCTTTCCAGAGGAATAGATACTTAATCTTATACTAAAAGATGAATACAGTGTTGTCTGGCAGAGAAGAAAAGATTCAGTGTCAGGGAGGTATAAATGGAAGGGCCAGCTTGGAGGCTGGTAAGACTACTGCTTCTTCAGGATGTAAAGACATGATGGGAAATGAGCTCAAAGTGTATTTTGGGAGCAGCCTGAGAAGGGTCCACGAATTGTGCTATTTTAGAGTTTATCTTGTAAGCAGAGAGCCATTGGTGAGTTTCCGTAGTGGAGAAACATGATCATAGCTGCATTTTCAACAGCTACCTTGGGTGTCCGTGTGGAGACCAGATCAGAATAGAGAGTCTCTGAGAAACGACGTGGGATTATTACAACAGTGACCTGAAGAGTTCAAAGGATGTGGCAGTGAGAACCGGAAGGAAGACCAGACCCGAGAACACTTTGAAGGAGCGGAAATGTCAGGATTTGAAGACTGGATCTGGGTGTTGGAGAGAGACAGTAAGGAGGGAAGGAAAACAACTTCCTTAGCTTTAGGGAAAAGGCTGTTGACAGGAGCAGAATGCAGGAAGAGGAAGAGCATCTTTAGAAGGGAAGATGGGCCGGCGCTCGGTGGCTCAGTCTGTAATCCCAGCACTTTGGGAGGCCGAGGTGGGTGAATTGCCTGAGCCCACAGGTTCGAGACCAGCCTGGGTAACTTGGAGAGACCTCGTCTCCACAATAAATCAAAAATTAGCCAGGCATGGTAGCGTGTACCTGTGGTTTGGGCTACTTGGAAGGCTGAGGTGGAAGGATCGCTGGAGCCCAGCAGGTCGATACTGGAATGACTGTGTGCGTGCCACTGCACTCCAACCTGGGTGGTGGAGTGAGACTCTGACTCAAAAAAAAAAAAAAAAACTTAGAAGGGACGATAATACCAACCCAAGACAATAAGGCACTGGAAGGGGTTTGCTGAAGCCCAGCAGTGAAGGTTTGGTGGGATCTCAGGCGAAGGTATGAGCTGGGGTAGGATGAGGACGTGGAACCACAGTCATGAATCAACACAGTTAGGAAAAGCTAGAGACGTCTGAAATGAGTTCCTGCATAACGCCCACATGTAGGGGGCAGGTCATAATACAACAAGGAGTAAGGAAACAGACTGGAGAAAAACAAGGAAGAAATAGTATCATGAGAGCCAATGGAAAAAAATTAGCTGAGGTTGGCTACTAGTGTAGAGTCCAGTGAGGCATCAAGAAAGATAACTCCTAAAAGCCAAACAGGTCCGTCAGCTTTGCAGGACTCTTTCAGAAGAGCTGTAGAGGTAAAAACCCTGTCCCAGTGTGTGGTTAGAAGATGGGGAAGTGGAAATGGTTTTTTAAAGTTGTTTTTCCAGAAGAATAGATGGTTCACCATCTCATCTCCTCTCTGGTCTGTTACTCACAGAGATGTGGGTCAACCGATGTTTGGAAAACAGCTGGCTGGGCTTAAGGGCACAAGCTTTGAAAAAAATGTTCCTCTTTTCAAAGATGACTGGCCTCTACAGGGTGTGTCTGCAACTTTAATCGGCCAGCTAGAACCTGACTTTAACCAACTGAGTACATGAGAGATTTGGATAGATAGTGTGGTAACTGGAAATCTGTGGGCAATGTAAATAAGACAGAAAACCTCCACCAGACACGTTTATTGATCAAGGTGTGAATTTTTTTTTTTTTTTAGTTGGAGTCTCACTTTGTTGCCCAGGCTGGAGTGCAGTGGCACACTCACGGCTACCCCAGCATCAACTTGCTGGGCTCTAGTGATCTTTCTGCCTCAGCCTTCCAAGTAGCCAGAACGACAGGTGTGTGCTACCACACCCAGCTAATTTTTTTATTTATTGCAGAGACAAGGTCTCACCAAGTTGTCTGGGCTGGTCTCTAACCCATGCGCTCAGGCAATTCATCCACCTTGGCCTCCCAAAGTGCTGGGATTACAGGCTAAACCACTGAACCTGGCCAATCCAGGTGTGAATTTTAAGCAGCCTTCCTCCTTTTCTGTTCTCTTTCTTCCCTTTCTCTTTCAATGCCCCAGGCAGCACTTAATGGCAAAAGAAGTCACGGGTGGGCGGGGGGAAGTATTTACCTAGACAAGTCATGAACGAAGAAAGGGTCATTTATTAAAGGGAAGATATGTTAGGGTACAATGGGCAGGACAGCAGCAAGAATGTCTGCTATCTGCCAAGAGGCAAGGGCTACATAGAAGTATTTATACTGTTATACTGGGATTCAGTGTGGGCCAGGGGAGTTGCCTGCAGGGCACGGAGAAGTTTTGCAAATTGACTACTTGCATTGCCAGAGGTTTGTAAAATGGCTGATCAATTGTAGGGTTTTGTCTCTTTAACAGCAATAGTTGATTGCCTTTTTATTTGTGGGGAACCAGTGGTTAACTACTTTCTTTGTTGGCTATGGAACTCACAGCAAATGTTTTACAGCTGGCAATCCAGCCTTTACAGTTCATGTTATTTCATTCTGAGATTTCTTTCCTCAATATAATGTACCCAAATTACTCAATTGACGCTGGCCTCATTGGGCCTAATGCTTCTCCAGAGAGAAGACCAAAAAACAACTTCTCTGCATTTCCGCCTAAGATTCATCCTGTGTGAAGCTACCAGGGCTGCACTAGTTCCTTCTATGGTAAACAAAACGATTTTACCTTGAAGACAATCATCAAAACTATCTCCTTTCTTTCTTTCTTTTTTTTTCGAATCAGATTCTCCCTCTGTCACCCAGGCTGGAGTGCATTGGCATGCTTATGGCCACCACAGCCTTGACCTCCCCGGCTCAGGAGATCCTTCCACCTCAGCCTTCCAAGTAGCTGGAACTATAGGAATGTGCCACCACACCTGGCTAATTTTTTTTATTTATTGTAGAGACAAGGTCTTGCTGAGTTGCCCAGGTTGGTCTCGGACCCCTGGGCTCAGGCAATCCTCTCACCTCTGCCTCCCAAAGTGCTGGGATTATAGGTGAGAGCCATCATGCCCAGCCCATCTCCCTCCTTTCTACCCTGAAAATAAGTTCCCTACAGAAACTGAGCTGTTTATGCCAAAAGCTGTAAAGTATGGCCAAGTCAGAGAGTCTGTCAAAAGAACCTATTTTTAATGGACAAGCCAGATTTCTACCTAGAGTACAATTGATTCCCCCCAGTACTGAGTCTGCTGCCAAATTTCCTCAGCTGTTTTTGATTGTTAAATATATTGGTATCACTAGAGTTAAGAATTGCTTGAACATATTGAGTCCTTTTAAATCCTTTAAATAACCATATTATGTATGAAGACTCATAAAATTAGAGCAGGTATGAATTTAGGTGGATTAAGGGATTCTTTGAGAAGCCAGGTATCAGCTGCACCAGCTTCCAAGTGACACTGTGCCATCTGCTAACTCTTTCCACAACTACCACAGGACACACTGACTGCATAAAAAGATTTTCATGGATTATGCCTTTGAAAAGTCAGAAAGAAAATTCCCTGTGATAAGTTAGGTCTAGCAATGATTTTCCATTTTGCACTTTGACTTGACCTAAAATACTATTTTAAAAAGTTGTTTAAATCCCAGAAATAAAAAAAAAGTTTGAAGTAAGGTTTGAGATTGTTTATTTTGTCTGTTTTCCTATTTTCTCCAATATGTTGTGCCTACATTAGCGTGCACCACATATTATTTTGCCTGAGAGCTGGCCCTTGACACACACAGGTGACATTTGACAGGCTGGAGAGACTTCTTAGACAAATATCAGTCCAGAGTTTAAATGGAAATGGGCCAGTTAGCAAACAGATAATAAATAGAAGCCATGAGGCAGAAAGATCATGGTCCCACCCCTGTTGGGAAAGAATTTATAATAAAATTATGCAATGGTCCATCTGAGAGATCTCAAGGGTGAGTCCAAAACTTGAAGAGGTCTCATTTATTTAAAAAAGAGAGGTACATATTCCCTCTCAACAGCTGAGGTAACCAGATAAAATATTGCAATGATTGGGGCATACTTATACTTAAAGGGTATCTGTTATTTATCTGAAATTTGAATTTGACTAAATGTTCTATATTTTTATTTGCTAAATCTGACAACCCAATTAACAGCAATAAAATGGCAATTGAGTGTGGATCTCTGCAATCTGGTATCACCAGATTGGAATCACCAGCAAGAGTCCATCCCTAACCCCAATCCCCACAAAATTCCCCTGCCAAATAACCAAACAATTGGGCTCTTTGTACAAAAACAGGTCAAGGAAGCATAAATACTATAAACCAGCTCCAGGATTGCCATGCTCCAGCCAAAAAAAAGGTTCAAGTTAGTCCAGAATGAATTAGGCAAGTGATTGTTTCTTTCCTAATCTCCACCAGGGTGTACTGAGAGACACCCTTCTTACCCCATCTAGTCACTCCTCCTTCATTTCTGTACTGTTATTTAATCATTGGATATTATTCTAGTAGACCTTGGTGAATGAAACAAGGTAATATAGATAACCCTGTTGGCTGTATTTTTCCCGGGGCTCATTTAAAGGTAAGAGGCTCTCCACCTCCTTCACTCCACACTTGATGTGTGGGTTTCTGACCTGAGGAATGTCTAACCTGTGGCTTGAGTTTCCAACCTCAGGTGCTTTCCTTTTGATGCTAAGGTTGATCTGAGGTCCCTAAGGTTGAACCAAAGTTTTCCAAATGGCTTCCTACAAAATGGGGTGCTAGATAAAGTGCTCCAGTCTCTTCCTTCTTGAACCTGAGCATTGAACGCTCATAAAGTGTGTCTTTATTAGCAGTGTTTGATTCCCAGAGTACTATTCATTCCCAAGCGTTCAACGCTCTTGTGTAGAGGAGGAAAAACTTCCACCTTCTGAGATTCAGTGTCTGGTCCCTAAACATTACAAGGGGAATCCCCCCAAAATTCAGAATATATTTATAAAAAATTTTGTATTGATTCTTATGTGTTTAAACTTCAGCCACCTTCAAAGTCCTCTCCGTTTGGTGCAGTAAACCTATTGAGACCCTTTTTCCACTGATCAGAATATTTCCTGAACACGTCCCTTTTGATGCCTTTTTGTGCTTTTGCTATTTTTTTTTTTTTTTTGTTTCACCTCTTCCACATCTGCAAAATGTTTCCCTTTGAGGATTTTTTTCATCCAGGGAAACAAAAAAAAAAAGTCACTGGGGGTGGGGAGATCAGGTGAATATGAAGGGTGGACATGGAGGTCCTGTCGATTATGGTGGAAAACTGCTGAACTCTCAGTGCAGTGAGGGCAGGTGTGCTAACAAATCACCCATCATGAAATGGGCAAATACATCGAAAGAAACTAAAAAAAAAAAAAAAATTCACTGAGGCTGAACGCAGTTTCTTACAAGAATGCTAACTAGTTCACGAATGCTGATGGGTTCCTAGAACATTTACCTAGTGGGGGAAATCTGTACTATGAGAGAACCACCTTCCAAAAGATAATTCTTATTTCTTTTGCCCCCTCCCCCTTGAAAACTGACAACAGACAGATTAACAGGAGAAAGGGCTTATTATGTGTTAGATTGGTGGGCTGACCCACTGCTGTGGGTATGCAAAGAATTGCACAGAAATTAGATGTGAAAAGAAAGTTTATTTAGAAAGTAGATCAGAGAAAAAGGGTGGATTCACCTCTCCAAGACTGGAGGGGTGGGGGGGAGCAGACACTTCAGGAACATTTGGCTAAAATGCTTGAGGTTGAAGACTTCTAAAGCTTCCCTTTTAGTGGGGGCAGGCAGGCAAGCATTCGTAGGAGTTGACGTCATGGTGATGGGGTCTGTCTCTTGTATCTCTGACAGCTGGATGGATGGGGGGGTTCATCATGAGTACATAGACTGACGCTTGGGTGGGTCAGTCATAGTGTGGGGTAGGGGAGATGTTGATAGCACAGAGGAGAAGGCATGGGCTGATAGCTGAAAGGCAGATTCTTGGGAGTTGTTAATCTTTTTTTTTTTTTTTTTT